ACCTACTTCGATGTGGTTGTTCTACCTTCCAATGGTAAAATATGAAAACATCCCATGTAGGCACATGGTTAACGAGTATGAAGGGCTTCTTTTATTCTAGTCTCATACTTAACTAGAACTACTTTCGTTACAATACTCACTCAGTGCTAGTCTTCTTTCTCATTGAGTAATTCATACATTAGGTTCACAAAAAAGGGTTCCATAACAAGTTTATAACACAATCAAATTTACCCTACCAAGGAAGGTCCACTAGAGCTACCTCACAAAGGCGACAAGAAGCTCGTGATGACTATCCTAAGGATTAATATGATGTCGTTCTAGCCAACTAAGTTTAAGTCCATCGTTCCTTTACTTTGAAGGTTGCCATTACGGCTTATGCTTCAACAATCTTAACCTTACCCTTAAGTCAAAATTTTCACATATAAACTCTCATATCATCATTTAAAGTCACATGTAACTCATTCATTCAAGACTATGAGGTCTAAAACCCTTAATCAAGACATCACATATTCATAATCATATATACATAAAGGCAAGTGACACAAGTCAACCAAGAAAATATACCACATACTTAACTTTTAACTCAATGCATGTCATTCTAAAAAAACCTAGAAACAATGTAATATCTTCAATACATCCCATAAATCATCATAAAATCATTAATTTACTCCATATGGACTCACAAAGCCAAGTAGGAATAACCAAGACATAACTCTAAAACTATACTCACAATGTCAAAGTCATAATCTAACATGATCACTTAAGGCAACATAAGTATAAAAAAACCATATGACTTCAAATGTAGATAGATAATGTCATGCTTCAGATAAGAAACTACACAAATAGCCATATTACTTTAAGTAGTTGCCAATATGGCCATGCTCATTATATTTCATAAAGTAACGTCGACAAGGCCACGTCATTTGCAAGTAAAATACATAACACCACCATGATAAGTGTACCATACCAATAACAATAGAATTGAAGTATAATTATACAAATTAAAGAAAATGGGGCATAATACCTTCATCCCCTCGTCCAAACTTCAATTCAATGCCAAATCAAGGCCCTCACCGATGGACATGAAGAATAATTCAAAATAACAACCATAGAACTGAATGAATCTACATAAATTCAATATAGGTTTAACAATAGAAGATAAATTAGATATCAATTGAATAAAATTCTTATATCATTTGAAAGCCCATAAGAAACTACATAACAATTCAACAATATTATCTTAATATCAAGTAATTTCATAAGTAGTCGAAACTATGGTTCATCAATTTATATGGATTCATAGATAATTTATGTAAAATCACTAATACAACATCAATTAGATCATAATTCAATTTTTGGAAATCATTTATGCAAGAACCCATGGTAGAATTATGAAATTGGACAATTCACTTTAGAAAACTTTGGAAAATATCTTGAGAGTTGGGCTCCTTGATGACAAGAGTTTCAATGATCAAAATCCATACCAAAAGAATTATAATTCTTCACTTTAATGCATAATTTCGACTAAAAACTTCACCTCCGAGATGTTTCTTCAATTTGGACTTAAATGGAGTCATTTGGATTTTTCTAAGAATTTTGGATTTGTTTACCCTTTATATACATGATTAAAATATCCAAAAGACCTTAATAAACCTCCAATGAATTAATTTAGGCAGCAACTCAGTGCGCAGGAGACAACCTGTCGACGCCTGCCCTTGATGTGGTATCACAGTCACGACGGGGCGTCACAGCCCTCCGTTGGTGGATAAAGCGGACAAGAGTCTTAAATACCCTTAAAGTATTGAAAATGGTACAAAATTACCCTTCATCCACCTATTGGCTCCAAAATGCCCTTTTCATCCACCTATTGACTCCAAAATTCCCTTTTCATCCACCTATTGGCTCCAAAATACCCTTGTCATCCACCTTTGAGTTCAAAATTGACCACTTTTTTTAATGGTTTTAAAATTAAACTCTTTAAATATTTTTTAAAATACTTGGATCTCAACTATTGATTATAATTTTAATTTATTAATATAATTTATAAACCAATCCACTACCCACTCATTACTAACTAAACCTCGCCCAATTAACAATCCAATTATAATATCAAAATCGTCATAAACACTACTAAAACATGATGAAATTATAGATTCCTCAAAATAACATTCAAAATTATTCGAGTCTGAATCGAAGCCCCAATTAAATTTAAATTTAGGTTGAGCCGTTTATTTATGAGGACACTTTCTTTCAAAATTGAATTAAAAATTTATGATTAAAGGTAAGGAGGTAGTACATACCGAATTAATTCATGCACTTTTATAAATATAATTTTATAAATATCTATGATTTGTTTGAAAACTTTTAATATATTATTTTGAAAAAAAGTTATCTATGAAGTAACATCACATAATTGAGACGTAAGAATAATTAAGATGAACATAGTGAGACTTTAAAGTTTATCGGTGATTTTTATTTAGCCACTTGAATGTATGATAATTTACTTCTATAATTTTTAAAAACACTCAATTGGCAGTAGCTTGCATTAATAATGTGACGGGTTCATTAATTTAGAGGGATTTAATTAGTAATGGGTGGGTAGAGGATTGATTTATAAATTATACTAGTAAGTTAAATTATAACAAATAGTTGAGAGCCACGTATTTTAAGAACTTTTTAAATAGTTTAAAAATAAAACCGTTAAGTAAGTGGTCAACATTGAACAAAAAGGTGGATGACAAGGGTATTTTGGACCCAATAGGTGTGTGGGAAGGGTATTTTGGAGCCAATAGGTGGATGGAGGGTAATTTTGTACAATTTTCAATACTTTATGGGTACTTTAGGCCCTTTTCCGGTAGATAAAGTGTCTCGCCAAAGTTCGAAACTTCACCCTTGGTTAATTCCCCAACTACGGGACCCTCGACAGGGCGTCATCAGGCCAACGGGCTTTTGACTGCTTTGTCACCAAGGTCTGCCTGGGATTGTTTTGGCAACAGGTTTTGGTCCTTCCTCAAGGACCATTTGATGGTCCTTGGGGATAATTTCCGGACTTTTCCAACTTCTATAATTTCAATACCTCACAATTGAATTTCATCAAAAATAAACACAAATAACTAGATGAAAGTCTCCTAGACGTACAAGGTCGACTCAAGGCATATCTTTCGAACACCTTGGACATTCTTGGTTGTTTGACCTCCAAACTTCTCGAAACTCTAAAAACTGATTATTAATGCTAAAAAAACTGATTTAATAATATTAAAACATCATGAAACAAACATAAACACATAGAATCACATAAGAGATATTAAGGCGACTTATTCGTTGAACGTCTTAGTCGTCCCTTGACGTTTGACTTCCAACAAAGCTAATACTTTAGCTACTGCCTCAATACCATGTATAAGACATATTTAGGACATTATACCATAAATTCAAATAGAATAGGATCTATTTCACCTAGTTTTTATGAGGAATCTTACAATAATTCCTATCTTGTTAGTTCCTTTATGTTAAGACTTATTATGTATTTCATTTCAATGTAAAGGGTCGCGTCCTATGTTATTTATGCAGTGTTTGTAAATTTGGCTTGTGACAATGAGATTTCTTAAATATTTATGAAATATTTACTTTTAAAAAATTTATTCGTGAAAAGTTTCAATTCCACACTACTTTTCATGTCTATGTAATGAATGCTAGTTAAAGGGCTTGTACAAGACTCCAAAGGGTCAAGTACGCCGGGTCACGCAACTAGGGTTCCTCCTAACTTCTAGGGGGTACTTTCGGGTAGTGACACTCCATATACCATTTTTAAACATCATTTTAATACTTAATAAGGTCATGGCAAACTGTCTATAAACAAGCATGGACATATGAGACACATAGGCGAGTAGTCGCCGAACGTTTTGGTCGTCCCTTTACGTTTGCCTTCCAAATCATTTCAATCTTTACATACTGCCTCTAAAACATATTATAAGTAAGTTTAGGACCTTATAAACTTATGAATAACATTTTAGGATCTAGACAACCTAACTCATTTTGTGGTATTACACTATCCCCCACTTGAGAATATTATCCTCGAATGACAGTTAGGGCTCCCTAATGACAACAAGGATTTCAATGCATCATAGAGCATTTTATAACATTTATAACATTTATAACATCATCAAGTCATTTTAACACTCAATCCACACAAGCGAGCAAAAACATTGCTGACTCACTCTTTAATGCATCAAATGAAAAGGCTATTATCATGTTCATAGGAGAAACATCCTTCTCATAATCATAACATGGTTATTACACCTTAATTCATTAAGAGATCATCTCGCAAGGCAAAAAACAGGAAGATTTAAACAATACTCAAAGAAAGTAGGCACTCGTACAACAATCCAAATAAACTTGAGAATTTAATCAACAAAGATCTTCATTAGTTAAACCAAGTACCGTAAGGGTCATACTCAACCATGGTGTACATGGAGGAATGTCCTTCTCCTCAACACACTTGCATGTATCATGAGTTCACACCTAAGGAAGGTACAAGGTCAAAATTCACCTTCACATATACTTATTCAAACCATAAAACCAAGATAATAATTTAAACTCCCCTTTTTTCCATCAAGCATAGAGATAATCTCATCCAAGCAATCACATTTAAAATGCCACCGGACAAGAAAACATAAGAGAGAGATCTTATAGAGCTAAATTCTATGGCACGATATGCGAATGATAAAGAAGCGAAGCTCTATCATCATATAGCTTCTCATACCATTTGATGTGTCGCGACTCACCACCAATGAAACAAGACTCTACTAGACATGGCAATATGAGACTTCATAGACCCTAAAACACTTTAAAAATCACGTGCTCTGATACCCTGTTTTTCACATGCGGAAAGCACCTTCTAGAAGTAACATGGTTCACTTTACCTCTCGGAGGTCTTATACAAACCAATAGGTATCATTCATCGCATTGACATAGTAAATTTAGTGGAAAATTTAAAAGTTTTCATAGCACATCATATGCTAGAAACATCACTTCGTAAATATACAAAATATAAGTCATAATACAAATTTAGACCCTAAGTCTCTTTTCCATCTTAGACTGAACAACCTTAGGATACATTATGTAGATGGCCCGTAAAACATAGGACATAAATATATAACTTTATAAAAACTTTACATGAAGACATGAGTAGGAAATCCTTGGAACGTAAGGACCCCTTTCCTTGAGCTTGGGAATCACAAATCAAGCTCCTCAATCATGGACATCCTTTAAGCATACATAACCTACACTTTGTGTAAAAAGTAGAGAAGAATGGGATTAGTATCACAATGCACTAAGTATGGCAACCATGCAAAAACATTCATTTAAAAGGGACATTTTCTTGAAATCATACTTCATGCCTTTTTGATTAAATCTTCATAAAACCCATCTTCAATAACATTTACATTATTTACATACTTCATTAAAACATATTCAAAGACCAAACATCATATAAGATCACTTATAGAATTTATAACATTTTTAAAGCACATTATTGTAAGCGACATCAAATCACACGTATATTTACTCCTTTGCATATAAATATTTATAAGACATTGTTCATGTCCCCTATTTTACTCTACAAGTGCAATGCACATGTTATGTCCCATAACCCTACACATGCTTAGTAAACTCTTCATCAGACCACAACCCATAGCATTTAATTCATACTCAACAAGTAAGTGAAGGCGACTTCATTCATGTCAATACAAAACCTTCATCATATAGTCATTTAGATCAACATAGTGCATATAAGGATAAGATCACATCTAATAAATTCATACCATGCACAGCTTCATACAAGTAGACCAATTCTACAAAGTCATGCATATGGACATAAACATAATCATACATATTAGGTCACTTTCCTAGGACTTCCTAAGGAGATACTTGTGCAGTGTCTAGATGGTTTCATTACTTCCACCTATCCTAAGTAACTTACCTTACATCCTCCTAGTTAGGATCCCATTCATTTACTTCCATTGTCCGTCTAACTTTAGGAAAACTATAGCCTTAAACGGCACTAAGACCATGGGTGCTAAACATGGAATTTGGTGTTGTAGAGCCTTACAACAATGGAAGGTGTTATTACCTAGTCAAGGTAGAACAGTAACACAAGCTTGCATAATAAGTGATATGACATTGCTAGATCCTATGTGGCAATCATAGTTATGGTATTGTAGTTATTCACTTATAGAAACCCAATTTATGCCCATTGTGGCATTGTGGTTATCAACCTCATGAGATTTATGGTGACCTATTTTTCCACATTGGAAAGATACACTCACTCATATTCAAGTGCACTCGTTGCTAAGATAAGTTCCTTTTATTAAATACCTTCATTAACATTACTTTATAAAATGTGGCTTAGGTGATTCATTCCCCATATTATTATCTTATAGGTTATAGATGATAAGTACTTTCATCAACCTATATCATGTGAAAAAATCCTTTTACATGGATGTAGCATATGCATTAGCACTTATCTAGTTTAGGATTAACTTGATCACACCTTTCAAAAATCCTATATTGAGTAGATCATCATTCATGTGTGTGTATACATATATTTCAGAAAACCTTTGACATAACACCTTAAGTCAAACATGTTCAAAAATATATTTTCATACATATAGCAACCAAATCTAGAACTATGCTATAAAGGTACACATGTGTAAAGCATAAGCAAAGTCTCATACCTTTACCCATAAAAGTACACCTATCAAGTCATCCTAGTAAGGAATACATAAGATACTTCACACACACATACTTTATATGCATAGTAGTAGACACTAGTGAATATGATAACTACCTTTCATTTAAACACCATGATCTGTACTACTTGTAACATGCATGTAAAGTGAGTGTGTGTGTACATTGGTCAACATGATCACATAATTTTTATAAACAACACATTGAGGCAGCCACCCACTTAAACCATTATACTCTTTAAAGTGTGAACAATACAACACACAATAGCATAGGAGACAAGCCAACTTCATATTACCCTTAAGACTCCTAACTTGTGCTATTCATGCATTCACATAGGGGTACATAGGTAAGGAAATATTAACCACTTTAACTCATCAATGTCACCACCTACACTTTACCCTAACATTGATATACACATTCTTACACAATAGCCATACAACCCAAATCACAACTAGAATAGGAAAATAGGCATAAGCTTCACGTAGTATCATCATAGGCACATGTTCATATATTCGTCAATTTGCTTTCATTACCATGGTCAACACATATATAGATTGACAATAAAGTAAACACCGCCACCATAAGTGGACCCTAACACACAATGCCATACAAGGCTTTATCAACATTACTATAAAGAAATAGATAAGTAGAAGAGTAGAGAAATTCTTACCAATTATTTAGCCTTTGGTCATCATTGACAATTACTACTCTTTGATCAACAAAAATCAAGTATTGGTCAGTATCTTAAGGTACCATATTCATACATGAAGTTAAGCATAAGCTACTACAAGGCCATGCTACAAACTAGTACAACATATCATTAACATGCTAAAATGTAAAAGGACATAGTCCATCAACCAACTTCACTTGCATGGATTATAGATCATATTTCATAAATAATATCAATCCAAGGAAGAAGATAATAATACCAGTAATCATATAAAAATTGTGCTTTAAACTCTTCAAGATCGAACTACTATCGTAGGCATTAAACTATCAATTCAAAATAGAGTATATAGAATAGTCCATCTTATTAATTTTCCTTAAGTATTAATAATCAATCATATTTTACCAATAAAGTACACGATAGGACGTAGCTAATGAAATCATATTCTAGATGCGACACTACTACAATTGCGAATAAGGTCGAACTCATAATAAGCATGTTTCATATAAGGAATTCATGGAAGGTAAATTTACATAGGTTAATCCTATTCAAACTACCATGAGTTGATCTAGATTGAATCCATCACATATAATTCATACTCTCATAACGTTATAGGCAGCAGCTATAGACAATCAACCATGATCAATTCATACAACAACTACCTAACGTCAAGATCACTAGTTAATACTTGGTAGACTAGAAGAACCTAGATCAATTAAAACCAAGCCTTCTTTACTTTGATCATACAAGATTTATATACACAACTATACCATCGTATTTACCAAAAATAGTAGCTACAGTAACCACAACATAATCGAAATCCACTTTTTATTCAATCGAGGACCAACATTACAATGATCATAATGAAGACTAGGCTAGGCATGTTCAAACCTTCATGCATTGATTTACATGGGTAATTAATCAATTATTCACAATAAATATACATACTATAAAGTATATATAAGAATAGTAACATAATTGAATCACAAATCGATATGCATAAGATCAACATCATAAAGTCATACATAGGCTAAAATCGACTTTGTGAAACAGGATGGGTTCATCTGCAATAGGATTGAAAATAACGTCCAAATAATTATGTAATCAATACATTCATATTATGCTTTTAAAATAAATTTAAGAAAGAACCCATGGCTAGAATGAAGACGAAGAACTTGATCATATTTTTCTCTTTGAATACATTGTGATTAACTCTCTAGATGGAAGGGTAACTAGAGATGAAGGATCACCATACCTCTATATATTAAAAGATCTAAAAATTAATGATTAATACATGGAAATCAAAGCTCCAAGCTGTTCTTGGCTTCACCAACAATGATGGTTTCTAGGGAGAATATTTTAGAGGGAAAAAGTTTAATTTTGTAAGAGAGGATTTGGAATGGGTTCTTCACGTGTTATATGACTTATATACACCTAAAATAATCTAAATACACCTATTATAATCATTTTAGGAAGTGGGGTGAATTTTCCATTCACCGCTTTAGTAAAACAGACGCAGGCACAAGTTTACAGGCCCCATCAATGGAGCAATCGACAGGCCGTAGGTCAGTCTACAGGCCTTCCTTTGGTTTCCGATGATTGGTACATGGAAAATTTTTGGTTTGAGACCTTCCAAATATAAGTACCAATTGACTATACCTCACTAACGGGTCGTCGCTTGGTCCGTCAATTGACATTGCTAGGGCAGTGTCTCGACTATACTTGGGTCCTTATTATGGGGCCTTTTACGGAACCCTTTAGAAGTTGTACCCAAAAGTTTCTAGCGTAAATAAAAACCTTACAAAATTTTAGACCTGCCACATAATTTTAACCCAAAACAAACACCTACAACTCCTCAAAAAATTCTAGGACCCATAAAGATACATATTGAGTGTCTTAAGGGCTATCTTTCGAATGCCTTGCACGTTCTTGGATGTTTGACTTCCAAACTTCTAAAAAATACATATAAAATATTTAAACATCATTATATATCATTTTAATTATTAATAATCTCATTACATACAGTCTGTAAACAGGCATGGAGAGATGAGCCACAGAAGCAACCAGTCGTCGAACGTTTTGCTCATCCTTTGACGTTCGATTTCCAAATCACTTCAAACTTTACACACTCCCTCTAAACCATATTATAATTAATATAAGGACATTATAACATTAATAAAAACATGTTAGTCTCTAGACACCCAAACTTTTTTTGGGGTCTTACAGTATCGACTACTGCAACATTTAAATGTTGAAATTTTGCGAACCATTTCCCTAGTTTCTTGGATGAAAGTAAAGAAAAATTAATCAATGTACTGAAAACTATACAAATGATTATAATGGATAATTTATGAGTTAAAATGAGAAGAAAAAGAACGATGTAGGGTTTTTTTAGCGTGAGATTTGTGATATGGGAAATAGCAACTCTCAACAACACAAGCAACTTTTGACATCTTAAAAAATGAAGTATGTAAAATTGTATAAATCTATATGTTTTTCTCTATTATAGAAACACATAAATATACATTAGATATGCAACATTGAGTGAGTTATTCAACCCTTTTAATTTAAAATGCTTACATGATACAATTAACTAGTCCAACAAAAATAAATGCAAAATAACATATCCCCTCCCCCCTTAAATTCAATAAGGTTTACTATTTTCAAAAGAAAAAAAGAATTGGAACAATGTAAATCACCTGTAATTAGCTACAAAGTAATACCTTGAACACGAGAACAAACTGCATTATACTTTCAAAGAGACACATACTTGAATGTGTGGCCTCCATCTTTGCTCAAATCGTGGATTTTCACAACAGGTTTACCTCCTAAGACATAAAAGAGAGACCACAACCTCCTGCAAAGCACCAATAAAAAGATTTTATTCTCAAGCTTTTTGAAAGAAAACAAAACTAACAAAATGAATTAGCTTTATCATACATTAACAAGAGATACACATCATATTGTAGAATAGTATACTTTCTAAGAATGATAGTACCACTAGAATTACTTAACAGCCTTATTCATCAAAACTAAATTACTTAACAAATCCAAATCAAGACTAACAAAAATTCACATACGGATATCACATTAATCTAAGACCAGATTTAACAATAATTTCAAGTTAATACAGAATCAAACAACATTTCCCTATTAAGATTCCCAATGTCCAGATCACAATTCACCATAAAACCACGATATTAATAAAAGAAAATATTAGATCCAGATCACACCCCATCAAAACTCTCATCTTTACCTCAAAAGAAAAAACCCAAAAGAAATTATCCACTAAAAACAAAAAAAAATTCACACTTCACCAAGATTAATAGTCTTCAACAAAAAAAGATCAACCAAAAGATGTAAAAAAATGGGTAAAAATTTAACCTTTAGCACTACAGAAAAATCAAAAAAATCTTGAAACAAAAAGACATAAACCTAGAAAAGCAAGATGCATGTGTTCTCTTTGTTAATGTATTTGATTAAAGAGGTTTCTTAGTAAGAGAACGAAGAGAAAGAGAAGAAAGAACATAAATAGATACAAAAAAGGGGGAACTAAAGAGAAAGAAAGAGAGATATAAAGTGAGTGTGCGCTAGCAAGAAGAAGAAGAAGGGTCACACATAGACAATTGACGAAGAGCATGAGTTATGAACCTTAGGTATAACCTGGCTTTCTTGATTCTTTTCATCTTCACACTCCACCTTTTTTGGGGCACAAATTTGATTTTAGGGTTGAAAGTCATTTATATTGAGAGGTTTCTTAAAAATTATATTGTATGAATTAATTTTTTATTCAATTATAAATTAGAGGAAAAGTTATATATATTGGAAAATAAAATATCTTAAGTGAAAATTTTAGAAAGTATGTATGGTCACACTTATAAAAAGTTGTTTTATATCTTGTAAAAATTCTATATTTTAAAAGTGATTTCTGAGATGAAAATAAGTATTATCAATTATATCATGATGTAAATACACTTAAAAATGGGACATATACCACTTAGGAGCACACTTGAAAAATGTTTCTAATGTTAGTATGGTCAAAACCTAAAAACTATGGCTACAATTTTAAAGTGTACCCAAAAGTATTTACGCTAAGACTTTACAAGCGTTGTCCAGATTAAGTATGGTCTTAGGAATAAAATGTTGTAGTGCTAGCTTAGCACCGAGTGAACTAGAGTGAGGAGTGTCCCTTCCCACATTGGGAAGGTAGGATTACTAATTTACTCTTGAAATTGGAGACTACAAAGTATTTATCATAAGGAGGGTCCCAACGATATCTCCTAGTTCTTTAACTATGTTGCCCACTTGGGAATACTAGCTAGTAGATCCATGTAGTTGCTATGTTCATGTTTTGGTACTACCTGGGAAAGTAATCCTCTTTCTTTCAGTGTAGAGTTCCATGCCACCAGTTTCCAGATTAGCTCATATGGTCTATGTCGGTTAGGGCAAGATGTTCCCAAAAGGTAAATTTAACTAAAGGGTTGAACTCTAACTAAGATTACCTAAGGGGGTTTAGATTATTCTAGGTAGGGGTGTGGTACTCAACATAAACATGCACTAGTTATCCTTGAAGGGAGTCTTAAAAGGATGTTCTTATGTATGAAAAATGCTTATAATGCTATATGATATGCATAGGATGAACTTGCACATTGTTCATACTATATGTTGATTGGTGTCATTTATGAATATTTGGTGGTCTATATGTAAAAGTATGATGTTCTGTCATCTTAAATATTACAATTTGTGAAGTAGGATTTAAATCATGATGCTTGTTGGATTACTTTATTGAGTGAGGTTATGGGGCTTTTCTTGGTCATTGCATTTGTTTACTTGATCGGGGTTCATGGGTAATTTTCTTGCTTTATTCATGTTATGAGGTATTCTTGTTCATGCCTGTTACTATTATAACCCGATGATAGAGATTCTAGATTATGTATTCAACTATAATCTATGCATGTTGACTTGACTAAACTTTGTTTTTTGTTCTTGTGATGTACATGTCAATGACCTGATGAACATGTCCTATTTGTTGGTATGGTCTTGTTTAATATGCATAAGAGTTTCCAAAGTAAATTGCATATATTAATGTAATGTCCCTTTTCCTTACCATGATTTGAAAGTACGTGTGCATATGGTTTCATGTTTAGTACAAGTGGTGTACTAACCCCATTCTTCCGTTTCCTTATCATTATAGGTTCTGGTCGTTGAAGTGCTTTTTGAAAACGACTTGAAAAGGCTTGGAACTCTTTATCATCCAAGTATGGTAGGTCCTCACTTTCTGAGTGTGATGCGACTATCTAGCTAATGGAGTAGTTTTGAGTTTAAGACTTCTATATTTCCTTGTTTTCAATTTAGTATGAAACATTGTATAGCCCATGTGAGGCATTCTTACTTTGATGTATGGTTTATGCCCAAGTTCTTACACTCTTATTAGATGGTTATGATATGAGACGACTATTATGACAATGTTATATTTTATTTACGTATGTTAAGCAAAAATAGAAGACTAAGTAATCTTCCTATACAGAGGTTCTATGTATACTCGATATATCTATACTAAGCGTATGTAGAGGTCTATGTAAACCTCCGTGTAGAAGTAATGAAAAGTTTTAAATTTTCTGCTAAATTTGACCTATGAATGTAATTATGTGTATGTCACATTCGGGTTTACCCCCTAGTTGTAACCGGCGTCATCGTCCTCTTTGAGGACTAAGACTAGCCCCTTAGTCTCATGTCATTACAGTAATAGGTTAAAAATGCGGAAAAATTTAAAACTTTCATTACATCTACTTGGAGGTTTATATATAACTCTATATACACATAATATATAGTCGTATCGAGTATACATAGACCCTTTGTATAGGAAGGCTACATAGGCTTCTACTTTTACTGCACATACGTGTATATAAGGTAGAAAGATAGTCGCATCTCATACCGGCTAAACGATTACCACAATATGGCGATAGCCCTACATCAACTTTAAAGAAACCACATATAGTCTTATATAAGTCGCACACAATAAAAATGGAACTAACATAAACGTCTTAGAAAAACAAAAGAACTTTGTAGGCAAGATATTGGCATCACCTTCGGAAAGTGAGGACATACCTACTTGGCTGATAGAGAATATCCAAACCTTATTCATGTTTTCCCGAATAAGCATTCAATGACCAGAACCTAAAATGTTTCAAAAAGGGAAGAAAACCGGGTTAGTACTCCACATTTACTAAGTATGAGACCATATGCACATATAATAGCAAACATACTAAAGAGGAACATATAGTAAAAAAAATTCCATTTTACTGTTTTGAAAGTCTTATGCAAAGTCGAGCAAGTCATACAAACCAACAAAACATGCTTACTAACTCAAACAAGTAATATGTATTCCAACACACTTGAACCATGATTTACTACAACACTATCATCAAGGAATACCATCACAAGAATGACTAAGAGTTAATAATATCATAATAAGCAAGACGACTACTCATGAATCCTCATCAAATCAACAAGTGCATTTACCAAGCAAAGCTCCGTAACATTGCTCAACCAAGTAGACTTAACAAGAAAAAAACATTAATATCCAACTTTAACAATATAATCCAACTACATATATGAAGAGGATAATCATCATCATACATAAACATTTGCATTGTAGCATCACCATATTATCCTCATATACATCATTATCATATACATACATAATATTAACTTCCTAAAGATTCCATCAAGGTCAACTAGTGCAAGGCATAAGTAGAGTTCCATACCCCTACCTAGTCTAACTTAAACCTCTCAAGTCACCTTCGTTAGTTTATACTTCATTACTTTATTTTAATTTAGGGAAAACTTGCCTTAACTAACATAGAGAACAGGAGATAAGTGTGGAATCCGGTGTTGTAAAACCTTACACCGATGGAGGGTGGTTTACCGGCCAAAGTAGAACCAAACATAAAGGGAGCTTACTAGGTTGATCCACTAGCTAGTCTTCCGATAGGGGAAACATAGTTCAAGAACTAAGAGATAGTATATTCCCTCTATATACCACTTGGTAGTTGGGGCCTCCTCTCATGGTAATCTATTGGATGAGTATTCTCCATTGGGGAGTCAACATATCATATAGAACTATAAGGCGATCTTCCTCTTTGGGAAATCATCACCTCCCATTCCCAAGTTCACTCGATGCTAAGCTAAGTCCCTTCATTTAAATGTCTTTAAGAATTTTAATTATCTATTATATTGTAGATTAGGTCATAGGGTCTATCCAATATATTATCATGATCATCAATAAATTAATTAGATTTGCATGAGTATAGTTAATTTATCACAAATCATATAAGTGAGGTTAACACATTAGAATTTCATAGCATATCAAGATACATTGAAAGATATCATCAGCATTAAATCACATACACCTTAATCAACCTCACAACATAGCCAAGATATTTCACTTCACCACCATCCCACCCTATCATCCTAATAGAAGGAATACTCAAATATAACATCATGACTTAACCATTATTAATCACAATTGGAAGTGGAGATGGAGATTCCAAGTCTTACCAAGTCTTCCTCATAGTTCATCATTTAGGCCTTACCCTAAAACCTCAAATCAATACAATTTAAATGTTCAACATCATAATTCAATAATCAGCATGATAACAATACTAGAATAAACACTATAGCACAATTCAATATTAGATCATACTTAAAAAAGGATGCCTAGGTTAACTCACCTTCTAACCTAGATAATCCTGTCAAGACTTGCATGAAAGAATAAAATTTACTCCAATTTGTTAATTATTATTATAAATACATCATTTAATATGTTTATTACCCATAAGCAATACAATTGAATAAATCACAACCAAATTTACATCAAGATCAAACATAAGTTTAAGGGTTAAAGATCACATTCTTCAATTTGAATCAAAACATTACAATTAAGCATAATCAAGTTCAGATACATGTTAATGTATTCATTATATACTAAAGAAACTATAAAAAAAACTCAGTTCACAACATCAATTTCGTAATTTGATGAAACCAACATTAAAATTCAACTTTTGAAATCCATTTTGAAGGAACCCTTTGAAGAAATAGTGCTAAAGGTGAATTATATCCCATACATTAATGTTTGAAGAAGAATTGATAGTGAATTCGTCCCTTTCAAGCCTCAAACCCCTTTTCCGTTCTAGTCTTTAATAGTAAGTTCAAGTAGAGAGAGAAAGAAGAGAGAAGGAAGAGAGTATATTTTGTGTGTTGTAATTAGATTAATTGGGTTTGGTGTCTTTATATGGGAGTTAAATTAGTTCATTAGTATCCCCTTAATACCTAAATAACCACTAAACCACTTAAATAATTAAATGACTTAACATTAAAACGTGTAGCAAAGTCAAGACCCTCACAGACGGAACCCCATCGACGGGCCCTCTGTGAGTCAAAAGACTAGCCGCCTAACATCCTACACATCTGTAGGTAAGTTCAAAGACTTGTGCAGGCGGGTGATTCCTCAAATTGACTAAGTGTGGGACGACGGTAGCACCGATGCCCTGTCGATCCACACACGGTCCGTCCCTTGTCCCGTCGATGCATAGTTCCCAGGCAGTGTTGCTTCAACCTGCAGGAGTCCTCCTCAAGGGCCCTTGGTTTATCCTTAGGGATTCGTACCTAGATTTTTCGACAGTGAAACAATCCACACACCTATTATCTACCCTTTTACTACTTTTAATAAATTTCCTCAATCGACAGCAACTTCGTCATAGCAAAGTAAAGTCTCTGCCCCTATCGCTTGATTGATCTGATCAGACACTTGATCTTCCCTACTTTTTACAGAAGAATTCCGACTCCCAAAAGATAGCCAAATAGGAAAAAGCACGCTAGTACCCCTTTGAACCATCTTTAGGACGTCATGGACGTTCTTGGATGTTTTGGTTCATAAACTTCCTAAATGACCTATAATCATCGTAATATGTCTTAAAACAGTTTTTATACCCTAATTCACCTCTGTTAGGCTCTAAGACTCGTCTTGGACTTTCAAGGTATTACATAATCCCCCGCCCTTAGGAACATTTGTTCCCGAATGAC